CTTCGATTTTTCTATTTTGCGTTATTTTAATTTTTTACATCACAATTTTTAGATTTTTCAGTTTCTCTATTTTTAATTTTTCCATTTGAAGTTTTTTGATTTTACAATTTTTCATTTCTTCAGTTTTCGATGGACAATTTTTCAACTTTTAGTTCTTTTTTTCAATTGTTCTATTCCTCAGTTTCTCGATATTATAAGTTGCCTTGCAATTTTTAGATTTTTCATTTCTTCAGTTTTCGATTTACAATTTTTGGATATTTTTTTATTTTTAAAATTTTTCTATTTGTCAGTTTCTCGATTTTACAAGTTGCTTTGCTGTTTTTAGATTTTCCGTTTCTTCAATTTTTTTTTTATTTAAAATTTTTCAAGTTCCCGAATTTTTATTTTTCAAATTTACACCTTTCATTCATAGCAGATAAAAGTATTCAGTGAAATAGAGATGGGGTGGGTGGGCGGGGTTAATTATGTATTCTTCTCTAGCGTGGGAGTGGGAACCAATAGAACCGAAGTTGTAAAAAAGTAAAAAAAAAATAAAAAGCAACAATTTTAACTTTTTTTTGTACTCTGCTATAAGATTTACTTCTTATTTCACAAAAAAAAAAAGTTTAATTTTTTCCTATAGTTCTTTATAAGCAAGTAATTTATAAGCTTTAGTTAATTTACGATTACTTAACAATAATATACGAGAAAACTATTGAGGAAGCTCAAGAATATTCGCACACAAAAAATTAGAAAATTTTTCGAAAAAACAAAATAAGTCACTGAAATATAGAAAGAATGTGGGCGGGGCGAAGTTTAACTTTTTCTACAGTCTTATGAACAAGCCGTAGCCCCGCCCACCCACCCTCTCTTCATTCTAATCACAACCCTTAATATTGTTTAGTCTTACTTTTGCAAGCACTAGCCCAGTAGCCCCGCCCACCCGCCCTCTATTTTTTCAGAATGTATCATTTACCAAAATGAGTCTTCAAGTCAACTAATATAAATAATCAGACATAGAATAGTAGCAAGAAGCGAAAAGTATAACTTTTTTTGTAATTTGTAGTAGTAGTAGTAGGTCTAGACCAACTTTGCAACAAAATTTATTAGTTCACATTAACCATTATGAATGTTTTTAGAGAAAAATACATTTATTCGTTGGAAGGTACTAAAAATTTATTATTTTATAAACAAACAGTACTTTCCTATCGCTAAAAGTAAAAGTACTTAATTATTCTACACGTTTGCAAACAATGACTCAGTACATTAGTGCATTGTTGACACAATAGGAAACTAGAATGTGACGCAAATATAAAACGTCACAATTTTCACGCCTAATTGACAGATAATCGTCGCACACAAAATTTTACTTAACATTTTACCAAAATCCGCATTTCAACAATAAGATAAGCAACATCAGCACGACGATTTAAACGCTCATCGACAATTTCCAGCCACATCCGCCACCCCTTGCCGTTAAAAAAGCGATGTCAATAAATCCACGCGTCCTATCGATTACTGCTTTTCGAACAGGTACCAGCTCACAAAATAGCACCGACCTACTTTTCCGCATAATCATCCATCGCACCAGTTTCCGCAAACTTCAAGGTGTCGGAATTACGATTCCGGAAACGTATAAAGAAAATCCGGCGCACGACAAGCGAAAATTGCCAAGTTGGCTAGCTTGTTAGTAAAATATCACTTACTAGAAGTATCCAGTCGTCGAGGTGTACGTTGAGGAGTTTGTCTTGTGGGGTTAGATCGTCTCCAAGTCTGGAAGAAAACACACAGTGATAATTTTCGCGGCGACCAATCAAGATTTGCTAATTGGGATGACGTCACCAGTTGCCCGAAGTGGACGAATTAGTAAATTTTATTGAAAGTTCCAGTAACTGTTGGTGTATATTTAAATTAGTTGGGTGCATAGCGTTATCAACGCGTGCCAGTGCGAGGGTCACTGATTACATAGACTCAACATGTTAAAACGACATAGATATTTAAAAAATAAAAATCGTTACACTTACCTTAACCTTGTCAACAAATCACTATCCTGCGGTGGCATTGATGTTTATTTTATTAAAAACTACATCATATTTGTGTTTTCAAAAGATTTCTGGTGTTTGTCAAGTAATTTTGGAAGTTTTTTCACCGCATGGCTAAAAATTGGCGTTTCATGGTGACCCACCGCCGCATAGTGACGGTTACAAATCAGTACTGCGATAAGACCTCTGAAGATCAGTGATTGATAACACGAATCAATTTCCCGTCTTTTTTTTATTTTTTATCGACGTTTTATGTTTGCTTTATTATTCAGATTTTGATAAATAAAATTCCAGCTTAGTTGTTAAATGGTTGAATAAAAAAAATGGTTGCTTATAATATTGTTACAACATTATAAATTTAATATCGTGTATTATTAGTATACATGTTTAAAGCATATTTAACCGGAAACGTTGACATTGATGTAAGAACTGTGGCGACGGAACGGCGATCCAAAACCCTATAGCCATATTCTTGTCTAAACGACCCGTAAAAGCGCAATAAAACAGATAATTGCTTAATATTGGGATTTTTATCAGTTAGGTTCAACAAAACAAAGTGCCCTTTAAGCGTCGCAATGTTGTTGTAGTTAATGGGAATTTGTCAAGAGTTGTTATTATAGTTTACCTGTGATAAGGTAATAACGATAAATATATCTGAATTAGTTTGAAATGTCCATGTTTCGTTTTTTAGTTGGCTGTGACACCACTTAATGTTAAATAAAGACTTTATACGTAATTGAGGCGCAACCATTAATAAATTTTTACATGCGACGCAATTAGCTTAATTGGGTCCAACCTTAACTCGTCATATTTTGTATCGACTGTATTGTGGCAGCTTAGATCAATAAGTTTTAACTTGGCAAACGTAGATACAGCTAGGAACAGGAAATAGGGGTTGTTGCTACTTTATTTTCTCGTCTAGAGACATAAAGTCCTTAATCAATCATATATATACAAAATCTACCTGTTATGAAAACAATATGATAAATTGTGGTTAATGTATATGTGGTTGCATACAAGACTTTGTGTATCGATTAGTGTTTTATGTGTTGCATACTTACACGTAATATTTGCAGATCCATAGCTAAATCTTGAGGACGTAGGCCTTATTTTTTTTTGTTGATTTCTCTTTCTGTGCAAGTTTTATAACGTGAGACTAGGACCTGAGTCCCTTGATAGTTGTAGTGTTTGTAAAAAAAAAAAAAAAAATAAAAGAACATAGGGGAACGAAACTAAAAAGAAAATAATATGTAGGTATTAAAACTATCAGTCTACATTTTTATTCATTGCACAAAACACTGATAATAAAATAGGATAACACAAATTCAAAATTTTAAATAAAATATACAAAGACTAATTTAGAAATACTAAAAATAAATTTCCATTTGTACTGAACAATATAATAAAACACAATAAGTGTAGTAAATAATAATCCCCATAAAATACTAGAACGTAAATAGAAAAACAAATAGTCAATTATGCGTAGACATAATATTTCCTTAAACGAATGTACAATATATTTACAATAATTAGCAAAATTCATATTACACAGGTCTTGTTTTCTACAGAATAATTTAGATCTATATCATTCATAAGAAACAAATATAAAATTGCCAATAATCACGTTGCTTTAAAAATAATTGCGTCATTTTTCGTTATAAAATTGACAATCTTACTTTAACAGGCTAATACAAATCACACTCAAAAGAATTTATTCGAGAAAGAAAAATATCTTACAATATTGGTCCGAATCGGCGAATGAAAAGAACGGGTGTAAAAAATCAAGTATCCAAAATGATATGTTAACATTGGTCTAAAAGATGGAATCACCTTCAGAAAAGAATCGACGTTACAAAAATTGGTCCGGCGAATTTTGAAGAGAGAGTCAGAGAGATAGAGAGAGAAAAAAATCCTTTTCTGAAAATGGACGAGAAAATTTTGCCGAAAAGGAAAAGAACAATAAATTATTGGCAAAATTTATACTGAACTTATCAAAAGTTTACAACGCAGTTTTGTTTTGCAGCAAGTAGAATTTGTCATGTGCCTGTAAACTTTCAATAATTTGATAAAAATTCTCTACTTTGGCTAGTTACATACAACTTATTGACATCTATTCTGCCTACCTTTAGAATGAGTTATTCTTGGCAATAAGAATTGCGCAATTCGAGTGAACCTGATATAATTTTGTATCGATGCAAAGTGAATGCGTTTTTGTTTAGGAACTTGGACCCTACTTCAAAATCAATACAAAATCCGAAGCAAACGACCAACACGTATAAGGATCTGGGAATAAAACTCAAATTGTATTTAACCAAAATATATTTTATCACATCAAAGTAACTTTAGTGAGAACACACACAAACAGCAGCCACACTATAACATAATATTTTCGTTTAATACAAAATTCAAATGATGCTAAAGAACCACGATTATAAATATACAATTATCAAATATGTTAAAATTACTTATAATTAAAGTTTTATATCACAGTCTCAGAGTTCTCAATTAATCAATATTATATTTATGTGGGTGCTTGTGCAGATTTAGCCTGAAACAAACAACACAACTTGAAGATCTCTATCGTCACGTGATCGATATTGCTCGAGGAATCGTTACACGTGTCGTCTGCTGTTATATTAGGTTCACCGAATCGAATACAGCAGATAATACTTGAAGCCTATGCACATCGAGATGCAAAAAGACCGCCAAAACGGCCGCTCTAGAAGTACTAGATCGTTTGGTTCCAACTTCTATACTATATAAGTATATTTATGTAGTTAATAATACTATGCTAAACTGGCCGTCACGAGTTTCTTTTTATTCCACTGGTTACTCATATAATACAATTTACGATAAAATTTTGGCAAATCAAAATATATATGTTCAATAATTTATAATTTCTCAATAGACTTTCTAACCAATGAAATAAAACCTTACGCCATTAATTTAAGTAGTTATGTACAAATAATACAGTGAAAATAGTTTGATTTAGACCTTTACTTCAATAATTAACACGTTAAGATTGTTTTATCACACTTGTTCACTCACATGTCCACCACGAGACGTGGTCGTGAGCTCAGGAACTCATCTTATTCGAACAGAGCGAGGAGGTCGTCGCCGGCCGAAGTGTTGGCGTGCCCTGCGCTGCTGCCGCTAGAGGGCGGCGTGTTCAGGTCGGGGGGGTCCAGGTAGGACAGCAGCTCCATGGGGTCCACGCTGTCGGGCAGCAACTGCAAAAAAACAACACGTCAGATCGTCTGAAGGCGCCCTAACGAAATCATGCGAAACCACCCTAACCACAAACGTCAACCACGAATAAAATAGTTCCGCTACGAAAATCAAAATCAATCACGACAATGACGATTTTAACCGTAACAAAGTCGTCAGACGCGGTTAATTAATTAAACAGACAAGTTTTTTTAAAAAATGTAGTTCGTTTTTTTGGGTTGGTATTGGTATACGTCAAGAATGTCATCAGTGTCGGTTTCGCGCTCCTCAAGTTAAATCGCGATTTAAAGTCTAAATTAAGAGTTGTAGATGCAACAACTGTGTTAAAATGTGAACTAATTGTAGATTTGTTGCTCCGGGTGAAGTTAGAAGTGCGGCTTTTGTGACTTTTGTTTTAAAATCTGTGACTCGAAGTGGTGTGTGGCAACATTAACATTCCAATTCTTTTCTTAATTTTATCTCTAGATTTGTTTCAAATCCGCCACTTGAGTACAAAACTTTCAATGAAATTTTCTTTTCCAGGATTGTCGAAGGCCAGAGAAAGCAGAACGACGAAATGTAAGTACGTGCATCAATCAAAGCCAACTTTGATAATTATCCTGGTGCTACTTGATTTGGATGTGCCGCCTATCCACAATTATCATTTGCCGCGCACTATTCCGACTCAATATAGTGATCTAATTTACTACTAATGCGCATGTCAGCTGTCAACGGCGACGACAGTAGTGAAAGTCCGTTTTTATGTCAATTGTGTCACCTGAATTACTAACCTCAATCTTAACTAAACTAACTAACAACAACATTTACGATATGGATGTCATCAAGTACAAAAAAACCTGACATTTTGGACTATGTCTCCTTAACAAAGTCCAAGTTTAATTACCCAACAATAAATTACCTCTTCATTTAATTAACGCTAAGCGTCATCACCAATGAATTTTTTTTCGAAATTGACGTCACACATGTGCTTTTTGTCAGTGATAAAGACTTAATTACGCTTCAGCTGCGTTTGTCACAACACACCTCCACTCGTTCAAAGGCTACAAATCCAATTAACTCCCCACGCAATTAAAATTAATAACAAACGACATTTACTACCAATAAAATCACACGTATAATTACGCAATTAAGAAACTCACATTCAGCGCCTCCTGGCCTGTACCTTCACCGTCGATAACAGCAGCCGGGTCGAAGTTCAAATCTGAGGGTATTTCAGGAACTGTGTTTTCGGCGTTGTTCCCACTGTTATTACTGGTACTATTGTTTGAACTATTACTGTTATTGTGGTGATCCGTGGCCGGGGGGACGCTGGGAGGGCCGTTGCCGCCGGGAGTGTGGGCGGAGCCCGGCGTGCCTCCGGGAGTGTGGGGTGTGTGGGGCGTATGCGGGGTATGAGGCGTGTGAGGCATCTGAAAACAACGAAACTAGTCAGAAAAATCCGGCGGTACCACGACTAGATCGCACCTGTTCGTTCAAACTCTTCTCCATCGCGTTGAGGGGGTCCAGGGAGTTGACGGAGTCGCTCAAATGCGACAGGGGCCCGTTTCCGGCCGAATATTCATTGTTTCCTGAGTTAGGTGTCGATCCGAAGTCGTACTGGCTGCTCCTGGAGTTGTTGTAGGAAGGAGGGCCGTTCATCATCGACCCGCTTGCAATACTGTTCATGTCTGGAGGTATATAGGGTGACATCGCCTGGGACATGTCCCAGTTGTTCATGGTCGGGAGGGTCATGCTGCCCGGGGACATCGCTTTGTTTAGTCGTTTGGCTCCACAGGAGTCAGTGTCGTCCTCCATCTGAAAAACGAGGTGTAACGAAAAGCGCGACTTGATAACCGAACGAATACCTTGATTGTTGCGCCGAGTCCTTTCGTCGCCTTCCAGTTGGCTGAACTGTCAATCGTGACTTCGTCCACTTCGCTGTTGGTGAGGGTGTTCAAAATCCCCCACATGTACTGGTCGACTTCCAATCCTTCCAGTTGCGCGGGTTTGCTACAAACAACAAGTCAGACCTCGCTTTCCTCGACTAACAACCACTTACTTGCAAACCGGACACCTCCAAGAGCCTCTTTCGCAGTTCATCTGGAGGTACGACTCCAAGTCGAAGCACTGAATGTGCTTGCAATCGTGTCCCCGCGCTGGCAGTGTTATCCTTTTGTACGTTATGGGGCACTTAAGGGAAACCTTAAGCGCCGTTTGCTCCACGGCGTCCCGGTCGCGCTCCATGTTAGGTCCCGAGCCGGTGTTGCTGAAGTTTCGCTTGATTTTGGCTATACAGTGGTCGGCAGTCAGCAGCCTCTTCCTCAGTAGGCCTTGGAGCACGGACCTCACGCTCGGCCTGTGCACCAGTTGCAGAACGAACAAGTGCGACTGCAAGACCAAAGTAAGCCCGTTGCAACCGAAAGAAGTACCGAGACTTACACAACAGCACGCCGACACCGTGATCTGGATGGTGTTCCGACCGGGTTGACACACTTCTTTAAGGTATAAGGGCTTGTGCGAGGACTTGTTCTCGCCCCGGTCGATGATGAGCGGCGTGGCGTTGACCGAAACTTGCACGGAAGCCGGCCAATTAGTGTTCATCTGTCGGTCCTCGTGGTGGAAGCACTTGAGTTGCAGCTCCAGGTCCGAACGCCACATCAGCGTCTGGTGGACCGTCGGCTTGAGGTGAAAGACGTGGTTGCTGACCGCCAGGTTGTGTTCTAGCCGGAAGGGAGGAAGAATTATGCCGTCTCGGACGGGGAACGTTAACCGTAGCTCGTCGTCTTCTGAAAAATTGACGCAATTTGTACCAACTCGAAGTTTTTAGATTGGTGTGCTACTTACTCTGACTGGGTACCGGCGGCTTCATGTCGCTGAAGTTCGGCTTGACGTCCGGGTTGGGGCTGATGTAGGGGGGCATGCTGCTCGCCGGCGTGAGGGGCGGCGTGGGGTTGCCCGGGATGGGGCTGTGCTGGTAGTTCATGTTGCTCCGCATGGCCACGTCCTGCTGGAACTGGTTGTTGTTGGCGTACTGGCCGTTCACGTTCCGGGTCATGTACTGCGACTCGTTCGAGAACTGGTTCATAGGCCCGTTCGGGAAGTACTGGCCCTGATTGGTGTAGGGCGGGGTGGTCTGCCGCATGGTCCCCCCACCCCGCACCACCGGTCCCATGGTCCCCGGGCCGAAGTTTCCGCTCGGTCCCAGCGTCTGCTGCGTGGGGTACTGGTTGAAGGTGGGCTGCCGCGTGGCGTAGCCCGGGTACTGGCCGTTGGGGTTGAAGTTGGGGGTCATGGTGGGACAGGGCCCCGAGGTGGCGTACTGCTGCTGCCCCCGCTTCTGCGTCATGTGCATCGCGGGCGAGGGGTAGGGCGTCATTCGCCGGGGGTAAATCGCGTTGTTAGTGGGCCCCGGGCTCTGCATGCCCATCTTCGGGCCCATGCCGCTCATCATGTTGTTGTGCATGTTGCCCATGCTCATGTTGGCCATGTTCGACATGGGGTTCATGTTGTTCATGCCGTTCATGCTGTTCATACCGTTCATGGGCATCATTCGCTGCTGATAACCCTGAGAATACTGCTGGTTGCTGAATTGACTGTTGTCTTGGAGCGCCACCACACTGGCGGTGGCGGTGGCCGTCGCTGTCGCAGCCGCTACCATCGCAGCCGTTGACAGAGCATTACCGCCTCCGTAGCCGCCCTCGCTGCCGTTCATGCCATTGCCGGCTCCATAGGTGCCAACCCTGCAGACAAACACACTATAAATAAATCGACCGGGCGCCATTTTGGGGCACGCGAAATATGCGACAAACGCGGGATTTTTAAATTCATCCATGTGTCCCTCTTTGTTGTCAAATAATTCCAAAAAGTTACAAGATCATTAAAATGGTTCGGTGCATACACACAAATGCATGCAACTTACAATTAAATCCGGCTAATTAACCGGTATTTTCGTTCATATCCTTTATCTTTATGCCAACTTTATTATGCGAAAATTTTCCAAAGACAATATAGTGTGTGACGCGCCGTCCTAATAATAATGATACACAAATAGAAGTTAAATATAGTGCAAAAGAGAATCTAATACGACTACTACAATGGTACCAATTCACGATAGTGACAAACAAATTCCCTAGACTCTGCTGACCCGTCATGACTTAATTGGGAGTGACAAATTAGACACACGTCACAATTGTTGTGAGCAAAATCGCCAACAATAGTCTCTTTTATTGCTTTTATCGCCCATCCACCCACGAGTTGGTCTAAAATGTAGATAAATTCTATTTGCATTGTAAACAGGTGGTAAAACAGCAGGTGATCACATCATTTCGTTGATAAGATTAGAACAAGACGCTCTGTCACTTTTAATCTTTTTATTGCCTCCGTCATCTCATATTGTTATTACATAAGTGGGAATGTCAATTTTAATTTTAAGAACGCGAATAAATTCGCCGCGGTGACATCTGTCTCCGTTTTTTTCAAGCGAGCGTCGCCCGCGCCATCTATCGAAAAATCGAAGCGGCGTTCCAGTTCTAGGAAAGCGTAATCGCTTCTATTATTATTCTATTATCGATAAAAAATGCTAATCGACAGAAGCGCGAGTCTTCGTGTTTGGTTAGAAAATAAACCGTGTTTACACACCGTTATCACGTGCACAAATCTCCACAATGAATGTCAAATTTAAAATTTATGACATCAATTGAGTTTTGTTTTTCGTTTAATGTTTTGTGTGAATTTTATTACTTATTCATTAACGGGAGCTCCATGCATAAATCAAAACTTCTATTATTCCGTCCCTCTACATTCTCAACTACACGTGCATTAATTAAAAAGTTGTGAATCTTTGTTACGAGCTAGCCTTGATCGGACGCCGTAAAAATATCAAAAGATAAATTTTATTGTTTCGCGTGGAATGCGCATTTAATGGAAGGAACGAGTTTTTTGGGTTGCCTATATCGATACACGAATGTTTCTATAATAGTAATAGTGTCCGCCGCGTTTAACAGATTTCACCCTGTTTTTCTTTTCTTGTCTATTCAAGCAACAAGTTTTAGGGGAAACGAATTGTGCGGCGACCTTGTTTTCAATACCTGAGATTCCAGCCCCAAAGTTTGAACACAATTGTCATCTCTGGTATTTACAACCCGGGATAAAACACGAGACGGTCTAATAGAGACGACAAATAACGATGACGTACCATTTTCGCTTTCTTTTTTAGTCTATTAATAGGCGCAACCCCCGATTCCGTCAGCTGCCTCCCCAAAACGGATTTGCCTATTTCTAGACTGTCGTCTAATTTTCGTTAAGCGAAGTGTATTACATAAAAACCACGCATCCCTTCGACCCTCATAAAAAAGCCCCCTTGTATGTCGTTTGGGGCCATAATTGGGCAGAATTGTGGCGTTTTCACCTCAAAGTCATCTGGATCTGAGCAGTGATTCTCAAAATGTGTATCGAGTGGTAAAAAATAAATACAAATGCTCATCTGTGCAGGCGGTTATAAAAAGCCTTCCCGGGCCTTTTTTGCATCTGTTCGCCCCTCGCCGACTGCGTCCAATTAGGGTATTTCCCGAACAAAGGTGACCCAGTCTCTTTCGGGGTGGATCCGGCCGTCGATAGCGGCAGCGCCCCAAAAATGTTCGATTCGGGAAAGCGGCTCTCGACTCATTAATGCATTAGATATTCAATTAATTAGGGGAGCGAAGGGTGCGTTCGATATCGGGAAAGTGAGACAATGTGAACTGTGTGAACACGAACGCGGCCATTGTTTGTCACATCACGGTCCGCCTCCCCCCCTGCAACCCCTGCCGATCTCCCTTCATTGTTTGGCTTTACCCACCGGTTAAATGTACAGCTTTTTTGCAGGCGCGTTTCCTGAGCTCGCCCGAAAAATAACCGACATGGCGAAACGCGCAGCTTAAACGTTTTATCAACTCGTTTTCGTGTTATCTTTACAGGTGCGATTGTTTATGAGGTGGGTGTAATATGTTGTTATAGAAAACAATGGCGCGGATGTGTTGATACGGCGGGAGGGGGTGGCTTCGTGGGTGATAGCTTGCACTAATTATAGGGCAAAAGGGGAAAGTTGGGTTTAGGCTTGCCGAATAATATCGACGGTTTTAACCAAATTCATTTAACTCGGTCAATTTTACTCCAAATTGGTGTGATTGCGAATTAAAAAATTACAATGATTAAAAACTTAAATTGGTAAATTAAAAGACACTCGTGTGGTATGCAACTAGCATGAATAATGATAGTGTTTATCGGTTCTGCTGTAACTATTACGGCGGTTTTTACTCGGACTTCTGATAAGCAAAATATGTGTGGTGTTGTTGTGAAAATTTGACAAGGACATTAATTTTACGATTTATGTCCATGCAAAGGTTATCTCGGGTTGTGCGAACTACACCTCAAGCAGAAATCAATTGCATGTGCATTTCTGCTGTCAGCATTCCACGCTTCATTGTGCGGTGTAAATCAGGCTCGTTCCATTACAAACTTGTCAAAAAAGTGGGGTTATGAACCGACAGCTCGACAAAGCATGATTTACACGACCGAAATAAACGTATAAAATCGTGCTGTGCTGATACGACATGCAACCGAGTTATTTTTTCCCATGCCCGCTTTCCGCCCTGACTTTATTGTCCGATTCCGGTTTATGGGCTTTCGGAAACCCATTTGTCGATTGTCCGTTTTTGTACCGCCACGACCATAAATCACGACGATAGCAGGTAGCGCAATACTTAACGAACTTGAAATTGTTTACAACACGTGCGAATGGATAATGTAAACAAAGTGAAAAATCGTTGAAATTAGAAGTATGGAGCGGGCTCACGGCCATAAAAATTTTTAATTGCCGCACTTGCAGCGGATACGATTTTCGATAAGCACGTTTTATGGGTTTTCGAACGTGGAGAGCGCGGTTCGGAGAAAAATGGGGGCCCAGGTGGCGGTGAAGGCTGGGTTTATGGGCGGTTTGTTGCGGGTTGGTGAGTGGAGGTCCGACCATGTGGTCAAAAGTGAATTTCGAGAGTCGGGCGGTGAATGGAAATGAAAAAAAAAAATGAAAAATGGTGTTCATGATTTTTCGTTATTTACATTATTTTAACCGAGATTTGCTATGTTTGGAAACTATGCATTATCAAGATTTTTGTATTTATATTATAACGTGTAGTTTTCGAAAAATTACAAAAAGCTGATGAAAAGATGTTCTTTTTAAATATTTTCAGTGAATAATTGTTGTAGTTTAGGCACTTCTGTATTTTTGTGTATATTTTGACACTTTTTTTTCGAATTGATAGAGGTGGGTACGTATTTTTGAAAATTTTGAAGTAATGAAAAATAAAACAAGTGTCTAGTAGCGATTTAAAAATCTTAGAAAACAAGCTTTAAAACAAAATTTATGAAAAAACTAGATCTGGTATTTTAAACCAAAAAAATACACCGTTGCAACATTTAATTTTTTTGTTACACCATGTATATACCGAATTTATCTTGATGGTCGATCACCAAAAATAAAAAATATCATTCACTCGGCACGAGTCATCTCGAAATCCACATCAATAACCCCCGTTCTGCTGCTTCCCGCAGCCCTCCACTCCCGCCCCGAACTCGCCCTAGCCGGCCGGGTTCCCAGCCCCCTGTACGTCTTTGTTTTCCGCGCCACCTGGACTGCCAAATTTTCGCACTCCGCCACTGCCACTGTCGAATCGGGCGCAATTTGCACATACCCAGGCCCTGTCTGCCTGTAGGCCGTCTGGTAGTTGGGCTGTCCCTGTTTCAGGCTGCTTCCGTAGTTAGGGTTTCCTGCAGGTGTCGGGCCACCCGAGAAGCCTCCGTGGGGGCCCGACTGCGTAGACGTGGTGACTCCCCACACCGTGGTCACGACTGACAACTGCTGCTGGGCCGTGGCGCCCGCTGGCGACCAGTCCCTGAAACATTCCATGCTGGTTACATCGAAGGCCTCATCCACGTGGTGATTAGTCAATCTGCAGAGCGCTTATGTGTCGCACGCTGCATAATTCCTCCTATCACGCACGTCAATCACGATAATCCGGCGAGCGGAGTTTTCGAAAAAGGCAGTGGGCACATTCGGACCACTGGATTTTTCGGGAAAGGGGGCGTGTGGCGGCGACCAAGGGTGGTGTAGGCACTGGCGCACAGGTGGACGAGCGGACGTTCGCACTTAATTTTCGGGGGATCAGGGCGGTCCGGTGCTAAAATTTGGCACTTTTTGGAGCGCAGTCGGCACTTTCGAGTCCTGGGGGGTTCATGCAAAAGTCGTGGCCCGGTCTCGCACTGGAGGTGGCAAAACAGGCCGCAATTAGGGCGAGTCCTTGGCACTTTCGAGTCGGCACTTTTTCGAAATTTTCAAAAAAACACTTAGCACTGGCACCTCGGCGGCGCCCGCCGCACTTCCCGGAAAATTCAAACTGTCACGGCTCCGGAGAGTACGCACTGACTTCGAAACACTTCACTGTTCGCTCCTTCCCCCTTTTTTTCTCGTCACCACACCACCCCTGGCACTTCCACAAAGGCGGTCGAAAAAATCTGAAAAAAATTCTGAGAGGGCTCTATACCTGTAGGAAGTATATCCCAGCATTTGAGGGTAAACATAAAGATAGTCAATGTGTGAGACACTTTACACGATCATACTATATGGACTTGTACGGAGCGAGCGTAGCTCGACGCACACGTACAACACGACCGGAACGCGACGTTCAACTGTCTGCCTGTGCTGTGAGAGAAACAACGGCACGTAGTCAGCGATGGAGGGGTTCAGGGGAAGTTGACCCGAGCTCATTCTCCTCCATTCCATGCGGCCACAATATCGGTTATAGCGGGCGGTGTTGCCAGCTCACTGCGACCGATACCGTGGGTGGATAATTTTCTCTCTCTGTCTATGCACGCAACTGCGGACAGGGCCGGCCCCGCACGCGTTGGGGCCCCGAGGGACGCGTAGGACGCTCGCGTGGGCCGGAAAACAATCAAACACGTGCGCTCGGCAACACCGAACCCGAGCCGGAAAATCGAGACCGACTTTGGCGCACCCTCGGAAAAAAAACGGGAGCGCAGAAAATATTTTTTCGTAATTTTGAAACGAATTTCAGATTTTAATAAAATTAGTAACTCATTTAGAGATCTTCAATAATAATAAGAATAATAATAATTAATAAATGTCATTCGTTGGTTTTAGTACCCGTCACTGATGGATTGCCAGAGGTGGGTCTAAGTAATAATAAAAATGACGTGGCGTCGAGGGCGCCCGCAGGGCCGGAGGTTCCTTTCCGGGTCCGGCCCTGGCGCCCAGTGGCTCACCGTGTTCCCTCGCCACGCACTCGACAAGGAGTTAGTTTTGGAGCGTCGATGGATTGGTGTGTTGTGTTCGCGCAGGCATCAGCTTCTTCCTCCCGAGCCGGGGTTCCGGCCCCCGCCCCGGGGCCCTGCGGTGCCCTTCCGGGCCCAAAAATCCCGCTGTCCGTGTAAATATCGTGTTTGTATAATCCGGCATTGTGATTTGTCGCCGACCTGGCACAATAGTGGAAATTGGCCGGCGTCGGGCGGACTCGGGCCGCTCCGGCGGCGTTCGGTGCACGTTCAATTACTCCGCCTAATTATCAGCTAAACAGCAAACGTACGCTACCCGCTGGCGCTCTCCCATCTCTATCGTCGCGCCCGTCTTTTGTTTACCTCTTTATCTAAAGCAGCGCGACGGTTGGCGCGACCACGTGTGACTGTTAAAGGTGGGACAAGTCGTAATCATGCATTAATAACATTTTACTCGGCGAGGTTTAACAGCGTAAATGTCAATCTTCTTGAAACGTACTCTACGTAATTGTCGCAGGTTGCTCGGGTTTTAACGAATAGATTCGTCGGTTTCATAATTCGGAGCGGACATTGCCGGCTAAACAATGGAATGGTAATTGGGTTGGCGATGAAGGGGGGGAGGGGGGAGGCTACCCCCTTGATCTGTTTCGTCACTTCGGGGTTGGCGACACTATTGTTCGACTGTACTTTTACTCTTCGGGTGGAACATCGATACTTTGGCAGATGATGCTGTTGACACAGTTACGGAAGATTTACCTGCCTTTGTTGAATTTTCGAGATTTGTAAATTTTCGAGGACCCAGATTGTTGCGAATTTCACGCAGAGTTTAAGGTTTCGGTTTCGCCGAATCGGCAGATGATTTATAAGTTCGTGGAACTTTTCGCAACTCGTTAGTTCCAGCGCAAGTACGTGTGGTCGTCGAGAAGGTTTTTGCAGCAGAAAATTTAATAAAAATGAAAAAACTAAATAATAACTGAGGAAAATCGTTATGTCAAAATCTGGGTGTATTTCAATACAGATTATGAATATTTCAAAATTTTGGAAATTTAAGTTGAAACTTAAAAAAATATATATTCATCTTATGTTTCCACTCTGCTTCTACTAAACCAACTTAACTTTGGCCCTTCTTGCAATAAATTATTCCGCTCGATAAAGCAGGAGGTTGTCGAGTTGCCTTGAAAATTTTGTACTGGATGGAGGTCCTTATACTCACTTAGCATAAGAGTCAATTTTGCCAGAAAGCTTTATGTACAAGACGTTCGTTACTCGTTTTACTTTCTAGTTTTGGTCGCGAAAGCGGTGTCTATTCACAGGATTATCTAACAAAACTTGCAGATGTTGCGTACACCGTTGCCATGGAAACCGCGCCTCTAGTCGCTGTATCTGGCTGGAATCGGGTGGCGTTTGAACAGTGCCGATGCTTCCTTCAGTCACGGCGTTCAGGTATTAAAAGAAGGATAATGTCTGTAGCAAGAGGGCCAAAAGCACTGCTTTAGTAAAATATTGTGCTAAATAGCGAACATTGACCTCCTGTTTCCAAACTGTGCTCATTGGAAACCCTCAAGAAAGTGCTAAGGATTATACTGGTGATGATTTATGACGCTTGTCGGAACGTGTTTATGCACGTCTGATTCATAGAACCTTTCTTCTTTTCAGGCAAACAATGAGAGAAAGCCGGGGTTGTAAATTATGATTATCATTGTATTTGAAAAAGATACCTCTTTTCTTCGAAGTTCCTGCGTACAGGACTAACTTTAAAATTATTTTTAACTATACAAAGTGTTCTGTGTAACACGCGGCTTTGTTTTAAATGAAACACTGTATATTTTTACATATTCTAATTAGGCTCTCGTAGGGTTTATAACTACAGTCTTTTTTTTTTAATTTCTTGAATTTGTTCGATTTTTGAATATTTGTTTTAGGATTTTTCACTTGTTTGGTTCTTCAATTTTTCGATTTGTCAATTTGTCAATTTCTCGATTTTCAATATTTCTATTATTTGAAGATTCATTATTGAAGTATCGAAAAATGAAGTACTTTTTCGATACTTCAGTTGGGGGCTGTTTCAATATTTCGATTTTCCAATTTCTCGATTTTTTTAAATTTTCGATTTCTTGACATTTTATTTTTCGATTTTTCAATTTTTGGCGTTTATAAATTTTCGATTTTCTGATTAATTGAATTTTTGATTTCTTTTTCTTGACTTTTCGATTTTTTTTTTTCGATGTTTCGAGTGCCCAAGGTCTCGATTTTTCAATTTGTCTTCGATTTTTCAGTTTTCCGGTTTTTCCATTTATAGATTTCTCAGTTTTTCGATAGTTCAGTTTTAGGTTTTTTCGGTTGTTTGATTCTTCAATTTTTGGGTTACTTCATTTTTCGATACTTGGATTTTGGGATTTTTAAAATTTTCAATTCTTCAATTTTTATATTTTCCAAGTAATTGATTTTCCAATTTTTCGATTTTTAAAATTTTCGATTTTTAAAATTTTCGATTTTTAAACTTTAGATTTCTCAATCTTCAAAATTTTTTTCCATGTTTCACTCTTTCTTTTCGATTTTTCACTTTCTCGATTTTTTCCTTTTTGATTTTTTATTTATTCGATCTGTAAAATGTTCGATTTTTCGAGTTTTCAATTTTTCGATCAATTTTTCTTCCATTTCTCAGTTTTTCGATTTTGCCATTAATTTATCAATTTATCAATTTTTTCGATACTTCGATGTTGAGATTTTTTAAAGTTTTTCCATTCTTCAGTTTTGTAATTTCTTAAAATTTTCGATTTCCCAATGATTCGATTTTTCGACTTTCGGATTTCTATTTTTTTATTTTTCGACTTTTAGATTTTTTGATTTCTTCATTTCTCGATTTTTCGACATTTCGATGTTTCAATTTCTCGACGTCTCGATTTCTCGATTTTTCAGTTTATCAATTCTTCAATTTTTAGATTTTTCAAATTTCGATTTTTCATTTTCTTGATTTTTCATCTCTTCGACTTGTAAAATGTTCGATTTTTCGATTTCTCGATCTTTTAATTTTTCTTGGATTTTTCAGTTTTTCGATTTTTCCATTTATCAGTTTCTTAAGTTTTCGATATTTCAGTTTTAGGTTTTTCAGTTGGTTGATTCTTCAATTTTTCGATTACTTCATTTTTCGTCACTTTGATTTTGGAATTTTTAAATTTTTCGTTTCTTCAATTTTTTTAAATTTTCGGTTTTCCGATTTTTTTATTTGGATTTCTCAATTTTCCAAAATATTTTCGTTTTACGATTTTTTAATTTTTGGACTTTTGGATTTTTTTATTCCCCATTTCTAGATTTTTCGACATTTCGATGTTTTGATTTCTCGACGTCCCGATTTCTTAATTTTTCAATTTTTTAATTTTTCAATTTTTAGATTTTAGATTTAGATTGATTTTTCGGTTCTCCGATTTTTATTGTCGATTTTCCAATTTTTCGATTTTTCAAGTCCTTGATTTTTCGATTTATGGATTTTTTTAAATTTTAAATTTTCCAATTTTTTAATTTTTAATTTTTCGATTTTTCAATTTCTCGATTTTTTTCTGGTTGATTTTTCAATTTTTCGATTATTTGATGTTTCGTTTTCTCGATTTTTCAATTTTTTGATCCTTCAATTTTTCGACAATTTAATTTTCGATTTTTTAAATTTTCGATTTTTCGATTTTTCAGTTCTTCCATTTTTCTATTTAACGATTCATTTTTTTAAATTTTAGATTTTTCAATTTTTTGATTTTCGATTTGTCGATCTGTTTTTTTTTCGAATTCTCGGTTTTATATTTTTCAGTTTTTGGATTTATCGATTTTTAAAATTTTTGTTTTTTCGTAGTTTAATTTTTTTGGTTTTAAATTTGTCGATTTTTTAATTTATCAGTTTTTCGACTTCTGGATTTATCGAGATCTCGATATTACTGTTTTTTGACTGTTCAGTTTGCCAATTTTTCGAATTTTCAAGTCCTTGATTTTTCGATTTATCGATTTTTTTAAATTTTAAATTTTCCAATTTTTGATTCTTTAATTTATTGATTTTTCGATTTTATGCGATTTCGATTTCTCGAATTTTCGACTTTTCAAATTTTTTATCTTTTGATGTATCGATTTCTGGATGTTTCGATTTTTCGGTTTGATTTATATTTCTTGATCTCACAATTTTTCGACGTTTTCTACTTTTCAGTTTTTCAAGATTTCAGTTTTGGAACTTTTCATTTTCTGGATACTTCGGCTTTTCGATTTTTCAATTTTTTAAAATTTTATTTTTCGATTTGTCAATTTTTCGATTTTTTGATTGATTTTGATTTAGCTATTTTTTAATGCTTTTTAATACTTCTTTTTTTCGATTTTCAACATTTTTTGCTTTCTCAATTTTCATAATTTCTCAATTTTTCAGCATTTCAGTTTTGGAAAT